GGGAGACAGCCAAAACATAAGAGACTCTTAAAAACTGAGAACAAACTGAGGGTTGATGGGGGGTGGGAGGGCAGGGAGGGTGGCTGATGGGTATTGAGGAGGGCACCTTTTGGGATGAGCACTGGGTGTTGTATGGAAACCAATTTGACAATAAATTTCATATATTGAAAAAAATAAATCATAAAAAAATAAATGAAAAATAAAGTTTAAGGTCAAAGAACACAATTTGTTAGCTTATCAGGCAAAAAAAATTCTACTGAAAGGGAGTGAACTATAAAAGCTTACTTTTTTTATCAATTTTTTGAATCCATATCAAAAATACATTTAGTCAACTGTCATTGTTACCTCAGTTTACTCTTCTTTCTTCCTTATTATTATTTTTAAGTTTTTTTTTTTATGTTTACTTATTTTTGAGAGAGAGAGAGAGAGACAGAGTGCAAGCTGGGGAGGGAAACACAGAATCCACAACAGGCTCCAGGCTCTGAGCTGTCAGCACACAGCCGGTCATGGGGCTCAAACCCACGAACTGTGAGATCATGATCTGAGCCGAAGTCGGACACTTCACTGACTGAGCCACCCAAGAACCCCATATTATTATTGTTGTTGTTGTTGTTATTATTATTATTATTATTATTTAATGTTTATTTATTAGTGAGAGAGAAAGAGACAGAACACCATCAGGGGAGGGGCAGAGAGAGAAGGAGATGCAGAATCCCAAGTAGGCTCCAGGCTCTGAGCTGTCAGCACAGAGCCTGTCGCAGGGCTCAAACTCGTGAACCGTGAGATCATGACCTGAGCCAAAGTCAGACACTTAACCGACTGAGCCACCCATGTGACCCCAGTTTACCCTTCTTTCGAATGAGTGCCACCTTTTGTTTTCTAGTAGTGGTTCTAATTATTCCACCTCTAAGCAAGAGCAAGTGAGAGAAGAGATGTAAAATAAAAATATTAATATATTCATCGATCTTTCAATGGACAGATCAGAATCACTAAACCAAGGGAAGTTTGGAGTATAGCTTGGTTTCATTTATCCTTGAAAGCCCACCTTTTAGAAATAGTTTTAAAGACTTATAAATTTTGTATGACTCTATAGTAAGTTTGCTGTCACTATGTGCTCAAATATATCCCAAATATACATCTCTTTTTAAAACTCAGGTAAAAATTATTTTCTTGGTGTGTGTTTAAATGCAACATGAAACATTGGTTTTGTGGTATTAAAAATCAAAGAAAGATGACATACTGTGATTCCCTTTTATCTATTTATAAATACTAAGTTGTTTTACTGTTTCTGAAATATTAATGATTTGTGTATATTCAGGTGAACATGATCTCTTTGCTACAGTGAGTGTTTTTTTTTTGTTTTGTTTTGTTTTAGGACCTGGACATTCTGAAATTAAAGGTAAATCTCTCTTTATCATAAAATTTATATTACAGAATTGAAAACAAGGATAAGGTATCGCACTTTTCTGATACATGTGCAATATATTGACATTATGCATTTTTCTCAAAAATTATCCTTTGCTGTGGTAAATTTGGGGTTTTTTTACATGTGGCTCAAGGTAAAAATTTTAGTTAAATTCTTGGGATATTGCAGAAATGAAGCAAAAAAGAACTACGGGTATCTTCTTATATGTCAGTGTAGCTATAAATTGCAGATAATATGTGATAGTAGTAGCTCAGCTTTCACCTTAGTGTAGGCACAGAGACCTTTCTCACAGTGTGGTAAACTTTCCTTCTCACACTCACCATCCAAGGCCTGCTAACCAAAAACCACCCAAATGGCTCCTGGTGCATTTCACCTTTGCTGAGTACCCTTCTCCTCTTCCTTTACTCTTTCCTCAAAACCAAAGCAATTCCTGAAGAAATTGCCACCAGAGGAGAGATAAGATCTTTTCATGATAGGTATTTCCTCACTTAGTTTTATAAGTCAGATGTCCCCAAGTCCTCCAGCTCTTAGAGCTACCCTTTGTTACTCATAAAAATGAATTATTATCTCTTTATATTCATATAAATTTCAGTATTGTTTATATGAAATTCATATGTTTAGTATTTCTTTATTATTCATATAATATGACTATCAGAAGTTTATGGTCCTCCTCAGGATTTTTTTACAATTCCTGGGGGACTTTCATATGTTCAAGATCACCCCTATTCTAAATGCCTAATCTCAATTATTTCTTTGCTGTAATTTATTTTCTTCCTTCTTTATTCCTTTTCCCCTTCCTTCCCCCCCCCTCTCTCTCTCTCTCTCTCCCTCCCTTCCTTCCTTCCTTCCTTCAGACCTCAGGTGCAAAGAGATGCGTTCATGACACTCCTCTGCTTATTCCACATAATCAGCATTGGGCTAGGCAGGGCACCTCTCTTGTTTTATTTATTCTCCTTTATTTCAGTACCTTACTCCCATCCCCCTTAGGCAACCATTTTAATGTGTATTAAAATGTGTATGCCTTGTTTGTACACATTCTTACCCAAGTGTACTCTCTTGTGAGCATACATTTTTAAGTCACATAATATGGTGTTGTAGATCTCATATTTCCTTTATTTCTTTTTATAAAGCATTAAGTTTTAAAGATCTGTGTTGCTCTGTGTCCATCTAATATTTGCTTCTAACTTTCTGCCTGAATCCCTCTGTTCATCTTTCACAATTTACTGCCTACTTTCTCAGTAACAGACTCGCAGCTGTCAGTCATATTCTCTCCTTCAGGATGTGTGAGAGAATTGCTCTGAGACATCTAGCTGGACAAGGAGTATTGGGTCTCAGGGCATGCATCTACTTAACTTGGCTAACTATTGCCTGCATGTTCTTTGGCAGAGCTATACCAGTCCTTACCTCTACCTCCAACAATGCCCGAGGGTTCTCCTCATCCTCACTAACATTAAGTGTTCTCCAGCTTTCTAATTTTGCTAGTCTCATAATTGTCAGGCCGTATGGCATTATGTATCAATTTGAATTTTTATAATAACCAATGACTTTGAGTTTCTCTTCATACTAGCTTTTGAGTTTCCACCTTTTCTTTACTGTATCCTTTCGCAAGTACATATCTTTTGCTTAATTTCACATTGGGGTTGCAGTCTCGTTGATTTGAATTCTAGATGTTAAATCCGTTTTCAGTCTTAGACATTGCAAATACCTTCCTCCATTCTGTCACCCATCTATTAACTTTATCCATAGTGAGCTTTGTTGAATAGAGATCTTTATGTAAATCAAAGTCATTGACACTTTTCTCGTGGTTTGTGCTTTTGGAGCTCTGTGATATTTTTCAAATATCCAGCACACCTCAGCTACACTGGACTTTCCCCATCTTCCTTTGTTGAGCATTTAATATGAATGTTTGAATCTCCTCTTTGATTCATAAGGGTGCTTTTGTGAAAGCTTCTGAGCAGAGCCTCTCTCTGTCCCAGAAAATAAATAACCTAGGAATGTGGATGTAGCTATGTCTGTCCAGAGACAAGACTCATGATTGCTGCAGTCAAGTAACATTGCCCTTCTGGGCTGTGCCATCCACAGACACATCCTCACCCGAGACCAAACAACATGCTGGTGGGAATCCACCTTTGGACCCCCCTCAGCTCAAAAAAATCATGATCCTGTCCTCTGAAATGTTCTAGGATGACAAAGTGAAGATGGAATCATCCCATAGAACTTCAAGCAAAAGTCTAAGGAAGAGGAGAAAATCTTTTGTTTATGTTTTTAACTTCTATATCCCAGATGCCTAATACTAACAACGCCTACTATAATATCTTTGTATGACTCCTGAAGAGCTGCCTTATTATGTACAAAATGAGAAGAGCCTTTTTAATGTCAGCTCAGTACTCTTTTGGTCAGTATTAGTCACTGTTCCCTACCTTATGTAAGGACTTTATGAATCAGAGTTGAAAAAGAAGCTTTCCTTCTCTGACCCAAGCATTCTGAATGCAGAAAAGCACTGCACCAGGAGTCTCACCATTTACTTGTACCAAGACACCCAGTTTGTGCCTGCAAAATTTCTACACAGTTCATCATGAGCCTTCACAATTAACTAGGTATAGAAAGGAAATTAGATGGTGTGATTTGGGGATTTGTACTGTCCTTTTTAAAGAGAGGACAAGTTTTAAGACAGAAAATTATGATCAAAGTTTTAATGATTTTAATTAATTTTTATTATAAACACAAGGATAAACATTGGAACTTTTTGTTTTCTTATAGAAGAAACAGAACTTTTGACTGCTAATATGGATGCAGGTAAGTTAACATTATTCTGGGGTTTTTTGTTTGTTTTTAAATTTTTTTTAACATTTATTTTTGAGGGAGACACACAGAACATGAGTTGGGGAGGGGCAAAGAGAGAGGGAGACACAGAATCTGAAGCAGGCTCCAAGCTCTGAGCTGTCAGCACAAAGCCTGACGCGGGGCTTGAACCCACAAACTATGAGATCATGACCTGAGCCGAACTCAGACGCTTAACCGAATGAGCCACCCAGATGCCCCAACATTATTCTGTTTTACTAGTGCTTCCCTGGTTTAAGTCTGCATTTTAATGTTGTGTGTGTGTGTGTGTGTGTGTGTGTGTGTGTGTGTGTGTATAATTGATTCAAACAACAATTACCTTTGTTATCAATTAAATAGAAAAAAATAACATTACTCTTTTCCTTTCCTTATCATTTTTAAGAAAAACAAATATATATGCTTCTTGGGAACTGCTTTTAAAAATAGGTTCATTCACAAGGCAAATTTTGAAGTGAAAACAATATTTTAGACCTACATAAACTTTTTTTATTTGCTATGAGCTTTGTCAGGTCAGTTTTGTCAAAAACAACCAGATTTCCACCATGGCACATGACATACATTTTGAAATAGAAAAATAATGGACTTTACTTGAATTAACTTGTTATTTTACAATGTTTTGAAGTATGATAACAGAAGGTCTGTGAAGATCTGTATCCTGTCCAGTTGTATACTAAGAGCCAAATGAATTAAAGCATCAAATCCCTGAAGAGACAGTAATTAATAAGCTTTTGGGTCAGACAATCTTGTGTTACATCCTGACTCATTATTTATTTACTGTGTAACCTTAGGTGAACAACTTAACCTCAAATACAAATTGAGAATAAATAGCTCCCTGTTTGGGGGGAATTTAAGAGAAGGTTCATGTAAGACTCTCTTCTAATTGCCAGGCCCCAAATTAATTAACTACTTTTTTTCATCAGGTGATGAGTAAAAGATTTAGATCTTTTTTTTTAATTTTTTTTTTAACATTTATTTATTTTTGACACAGAGAGAGAGCATGAACAGGGAGGGTCAGAGAAAGAGGGAGACACAGAATCTGAAACAGGCTCCAGGCTCTGAGCTGTCAGCACAGAGCCCGAGGCGGGGCTCAAACCCACGGACCGCGAGATCATGACCTGAGCCAAAGTAGGACACTTAACCGACTGAGCCACCCAGGCACCCCTAGATCATAAAGATATAGATATCAGTCTGAAGAGATTTTCCACAAAGGCCCTTTATTTTCTACGCAAGATAGCATCAGTTTTCAGATAGTACCCAAGCTGCTTCCGTAGTCTTCATTAGAGGAGGTCTCTCTCTTTTTAAAGGTCCAAAAAGAAATTTAAAATCTTAGCATCACACTCTTCCCCCAACCTTGTTCTTAGAACGGGTGGGACCAAAAAAAACAAAGCAAAATGGAAAAGAAGAAACCAAAAAAACAAAAAACAAATCTACCCAGATTCACTCACAACTTCTCTCCCGTAAGGACCTACCTCCTTCTTATATGCTCAAAGTAACTGACAGTGATATTAATTTTCTCATTTGGGGCTAAGAAGCAAGTTTGTAAAAATTTTTGTGATGTGGTAAAATATATAGAAAGAATAAGGAAAACCTCTTATATTTTTACCTTCTTCTTTTTCATGAATTCTTTTGCCAATTCACATCTTAAGTCTTTCTCTGCCATGTTCTCTGTGACAAGTATGCCACATCTAAACACTCACAGAGAAAGGAAATATCATCGCATGTCAAGTGACTAAAAAACACCCTTTAGCCCACTGATCCTGAATTTTCCATGGGTCCCTGGCACATTCCCTCTCAGGGTTAATGTGATGATTAGATGAGATAAACTATATACAAAGTATTTAGCATGGGGACTGACACATAGAAAGTACTCAAATGTTAACATCATTAACGTTAATATTATTGAAAAGAATTCCATATGAACAGCCACTAAAAAGTAAAAACTATGAAAGTGAGAAGATATAGGTGCCCGTGTTATCATCTCATTCTGATGATTTCTGAATGAGACCCTCGTCCTGAGTATGCCTGGCCATGTGACATTTTTTATCTGCCAGGGACTGGTAAATATTTAACCCCCACAGCTAGCCTCTTTCTGCCCCCAGTATGTCTTTAAGCAGAACTTCAGAGAATCAAGCCAGTTCTCGTATTAAGCCAGAATTTTTAAACAAGGTAAATAGTACCACTTAGCATCCAAAATAATTTATGAATCAATTCAGACTGTTTTATTTTAGCTGTGACTCTGCTGTGTTTGTGGCATAGATCATCAAGAAGTAATGGGTTCAAAATCATAATGATACAATCTCTTCCTTTCTTGAAGAAAGAAAACGGATAAAGTCACTTCTCCCTAAACTATCCTGTGGAGTTAAACCCATCCGGCCCACTCGAAGGAAACGAGTTGTTGGAGGAAAGCCAGCAGAAGTGGTAAACCTATGACTTCCCAGGAGCAGTCCAAGTTTGAGAAACTAAAAGTGGGTGGGGAGGATATGTAATGATAAGAGACTGGGATTCTTGCAATGGACGCATCTTAGGGTCTCCTGTCTGTACCACCGTCTGGTAGAATGGCAGTGACCACACCAATATCTTCTACAGGGAGACTTCCCGTGGCAGGTGGCAATTAAGGATAATGAGAAAATCAACTGTGGAGGAATTTATATTGGAGGCTGTTGGATTCTAACTGCTGCACACTGTGTCAGGTAAAAAATGTCTCCAATAAGATTTTGGATTCCTTGAAATAATAAACATGGGTAATAGAAATTGTGGCAGATGATAAATAAAACCACATGACAAATTCCACTCTATTAACAGCTAAATCCCCTACAATATTCATGATAGGAACCCCAGAGGCCATCCCCCCAGAAGCTACTGAGTTCTTCCCCCCAGACCAAATTATTGATCCCAGATGGCAAGGTCAGATCAAACCCATAGGTCCCAAGTTGTGTCACTTAGCACATTTGCATGATGGGAAACAAATAGGGAAAGCAAATAGATAGTACCTACGTTTTGTAGAGTTAGGACCAAACTGTTGAGAAGAGTGTATGACTGAAAAGTGTATAAAAAAAATGATAGTAGCCTGGCATTTTCTCTGGTCTCACCTCAATGAGGATGTTGTTTAAAGAGCTGCATGCATTTAAAGACTTCAAATACACAAAGCATTGTTTCACCTTCCATGTCCTCTTAAGTGTCTTTGATACATGTTCCAGACAGTGAAGATGTTCAAAGCTCGGTACTAATTGTCTCACATGCCGCTCCAGCCCTGACTTGCTTGCTTTGTACCTGCGTGCATCACTCATGTCTCTTCTTATTCTCATAAAGAGGCCAATCAATCATATGGGAATAGAGCTCCACTTATGACCTTTTTTAAACTTAATTACCTCTTTAAAGACTATATCTCCAAATATAGTTATGATGGGGTTTAGATCTTCAACCTATGAATTTTAGGGGAACACAATCCAGTCCATACCAGTGGCTGAAGGGCAGTACAAAAAAGGTATTGATAACGAGTCAAGATCAGCAAGGAGGAGGGCAGAGTTTGGGATTCCAGCCTCAGTTCTCATCTTTAGAATGAATGAGGCATCATTTATTGAGCACCTCTTACAGATTAGATAATGTATGTGCACTTTCACATATGTTGTCTTGTTTTAATATTCTTAACAGCCCTAAGAGGTAAATATTTTGTAGGTTAGTAGACTGAGACTGACAAGTTATATAACTTGGTCCACTTCTCCCTTAAGAGATGATGAAAATGTCAGACACTTGCTTTGCCAGGCTCATTTGTTGCTAGAGTATCTAAATGATGTTGTTGGGTTTTTTTTTTTTTTTTAGTTATTTATTTTGAGAGAGAGAGAGCCTGAGCAGGGAGTGGCAGAGAGAGAGAGGGAGAGAGAGAATCCCAAGCCTGCCCCACGCTGTCAGCACAAAGCCCGACACGGGGCTCAAACCCACAAAGTATGAGATAATGACCTGAGCCAAAATCAAGAGTCGGACACTTAACCAACTGAGCCACCTGAGTGTCTCTAAATGATGTTTTTAATATGGCCCATTAGGCTCCATATGATCTGATCCCTACTTACCTTCACCAATTTCATCTTGCCCCACAGCTTCAACTCTTGCTGTCTGCTCTGCCTGTTTTGGACTTTGTTCAGCTACTCAAGTTCACCTTGCTCCCTGCTGCAAAGAGACCTTCATGTGTTACTTCTCATGCCTGCAATGATCTTTCCTACCCTGTTTATCTAGTCAGTGCTGCTCTTTATTCAGATCTCAGCCCCATCTTCTCTTCCTCAGAGAATCTTTCCAGACTCCCTTGAGTCAAAGCCATCTTGATAAGTTCTCAGAACCCATGTGCTGTTGATTCCTCTCACTTTACATGGTAGAATCATATCCTCATTATTGTCATTATCCATTTAATACTGCATCTAGATCCTGAGTTCCATGAAGGCAGAAACTATTTCTGATTTTGCTCATTTCTGTAGCCCAGTAGCTAGCACAGTGCCTGGCAATAGTCATTTATTGACTATTATAGGTATACACTTTAAGTATTTGTTGAGTAAATTGAATGAATAAACAGGGTTAACCTTTAAACAATATTCAGGACCTCTGGAGAGGTCCCTTAAAAACAACCAAAATTTATATGAAGCACACCATTCTTGGAAATCCCGAATACCTCATTAGCTCCTGAAACATCACGGTTTAACTGTTAGGTGATTACCTGAGAAAATGATGGTAAATGCCAATTTGTTGGAAACCATGAGGTAAAAATTGGTGTGCAAATTAAGTGAGGCAGAATAAGAGACAATATTTAGCTCATTTACCATTTCAACTGAATTTTAAAACAGCTAATATATTCCAGGCACAATGCTAGATGCAGGCATCTATCCATAGATGAATTAGACCCTATCTTTGACTTAAGGTGGCACAGTCCAACAGGAAGAAAGACTTGTGACCAAATAAATAAGATGCAGTATTAGGATGAAGTCAATCTTAAATGTCAGGATAGTGACTGCTGTGGTCTTCACCCTGAGAACCTCTGGGGTAGCGAGTAATGATGTGTGTCCTGATTCCCCATTTCCCCATGGCTACATGCTTTCTAGTCTCTGCTTGAACACCTTCAGTGATGGTGCTCTCACTCCAGAGGCAGCCAATTCATTCCACTTCTAGGCATCTCTGGTTATTAGTGAGTTCTGTATGTCCCTGATATTGACCACTTAGATGGATTGCTTATTCCTCTCTTCATTTACCCACTGACTTTAATTGTATCCCATAAATTTAATCAAATCGCTTCACGACAGCAAACCGCTTCACGATTAAAAAATCTGAGAAAAGGAAAAAAGTCCTTTAAAAGGGAGAATATAAAGATGAAACATCAGATGTTCATGTTTATAATTGTTTTTTTCTCAATATAAATATATCTTATCTCACTTTTCCTTTCCGTTATAGTGTCAGTAAAGCTCACCATTACCAAATATGGACATCATTTCTACATCTGTTAAGACCTGAGGAAGAGCTAGTTGTTCAGCTAGCAAATAAAATTATTATCCATGAAAACTACAATGGAAGCAGCTATGAAAATGACATAGCTTTGATTGAAATGAAAAAACACTCAAACAGAAAAGAATGTGTGCTGCCTAATTCTGTCCCTGCTTGTGTCCCCTGGTCTCCATATCTATTCCAACCTAATGACAGATGCATTATTTCTGGCTGGGGCCGAGAAAAAGGTACATGCTTTAAAATTTGTTAATCAGAATCCAGGGGCTGGAATAAATGAGAATATAAATGGATAGGAACTAATCTCCTAGTACAAAGAGAGAAACATAGCCTCAAATCCAGGAAAAAGAGCATTCAGGCAGGACTGGCTTCATGGGCATGAGACCCGTGCAGTTGCCCAGTACCCCAGGCTCCAGAGGGCCCCATGCTTAGTGTAATGCTCTGCTGTCATTATCATGAAATTCTTACTAATTTTTGCAGAGGCCCCCACCTCACGTTTTTATTTTTCACTGGGCCCTGAAAATTATGTAGCTGATCTTGATCCAGAGTTTCAAAGGATACCTACACTGTGTGATCTTGAAGCATATGTTGAGGGGTAACCATTTACAAAGAAAAAAAAAGTAGAGTGACAGGGGGACGTATGTAGCATGGACTTTCTGGATTTGTTAGAGAGACATGGATGAAAGATAAAATGGTTTTCAAGGGAGTCACAGTATAGGTAAGTCTTTAATCTGCTCTCTCCTCCACTCCCCCATTCTCCTTGCCCCCTGCCCCCACAGTCACATCCTGCAAAGAGGAAGAAAACATAAAGAATTATTCCTTAGGCTTCTAAGAAGACTTGAGGTGGATGTTTGTATGAATAAGAGATGTAGATTGTAGACATGTGGGGACAATTTATTAGAAAAATTGACTAAATTTGAAGTTTGATTAAAATTAGTCAATGCTTTTCCCTTTGTCTTGAAGGGTTAAATTTGAAATTTAGCTTCCTTTTGACCTCCTACATTTTCTTTGTAAATAACTTCACAACACTGGTCTTACAGACTTATACTCTAGCACATTCTTTATAATTGCCACATTGAAAAGTATAAAAAATACGTATAAATTGACCCAAATGTGTCATATGGTTGAATATGCAAGACTAAATTTTGTTAGTAATTAATTTATCCAGAAGGCATTATGTCCTTACGTTTGTTTAAAAAAAATTTTTTTTATCGTCTATGTTTACAAATATACACAGGAGCAGAGATAAAAGTATTATAAATCTACTTACTCATCCATCACCCAGTTTCCAGTTACCAACACTCAACGGTTCTTGTTTTAGCTCTCTGCATCAGTCACAATCACAATAGGATAATTAGGAAGGGTTATTTGTAAAGTGGTTAATTACAAGGATGTGGGTAGGGGGTTGAGGAATTACAAGGTCTATGCAGGAACCCAGGACTAACAGTACCAGAACAGCCTCTCTTAGATCTGAAGACATGAGAGGAAGGAGAAGTTACCAAGAGAAAGAGCTTCAGGTAGACCAGGGTGCCTTGAGAGAAGCAATGACTTTGGATTAAAGGTTATAGCCAGCCCCAATATCGCTATCCTCTCTTCTTACCCTCTCTTCCTTGTGCTGGGGTTTTATGTTGGAAACCAGAGGCTAAGGGGTTCCTATTGAGGCATTCCCTCCAGGTCAGCCTCTTTGGGCAGGGGGCAGGACACTGAAGGGTGGAGGATACATCTGAAGGACAATTGGGAGCTATTAAACATATTTCCCCCAACCCCCCCCCCCCCCGCCAACACATTCATTTTTTCCTGGAGCATATTAAATCAAACCCAGATATCATGTAATTTCACCCACGAATATTCCAGTAGATATCTTTACCAGGTAAGGACTTAAAAAAACAAAAATAAAACAAAAACACAACACCATTCATACCCAATAAAATGAAAGTGATCCCATGATATCATCTAATAACCATCCTGTGTTTATTAGCATATGCTAAGATTTCACTGATGAAAAATATGGACACAGTCATCAAAGAGTGCAGAGGCTGGAAGATTGAAAGACAAAGACCAGTTCTCAAGGGACTTGCAGTCCAGAGGAGGCATCAGATATGAATGTCACCATCAGACAGCAGAATGGGACAGGTGCCTCACAAAGTATACAACACAAGAGCTCAGGGAAGGAAACACTCTCCTGAGCCATTAAAAACTGTTCACATAGTACAGGAGGTCCCAGTTTTTTAAAGGCTTCTCCTGAGTTAGAGGAAATAATAAATTACTAATTAAAAAAAAAAAAGGGGCGCCTGGGTGGCGCAGTCGGTTAAGCATCCGACTTCAGCCAGGTCACGATCTCGCGGTCCGGGAGTTCGAGCCCCGCGTCAGGCTCTGGGCTGATGGCTCAGAGCCTGGAGCCTGTTTCCGATTCTGTGTCTCCCTCTCTCTCTGCCCCTCCCCCGTTCATGCTCTGTCTCTCTCTGTCCCAAAAATAAATAAACGTTGAAAAAAAAAAATTAAAAAAAAAAAAAAAAAAAAAAAA